AAAATTAATATGGCTTTCCTTCTTTTTTCTTTTTTCATAGAATTACTGCAGACTAAGCGTTCTTATAGCCCTTGATTTCATATATAGCAGACTTCTATACCTGTAAATGAATGTGTGTATATATAAACATGTGATATAATCTTTACATACATAATCCAATCACCCGGATTTTTAACAAATATGTAAATAGATGTATTGTTTTAAAGCTACATTTGAGCTGTTAGGACAAGAAAAATAATTCTGGGTAAAAAACTAACAGGGCATTTAAAAAATTCCCTGTGAGCACACTGAGCAGGGACGCCAGGCCCAACAGCCATGTGGCTCCAGAGCTGGTGGTGAAGACAAGGGGCCTGGAACCAAAGCCACAGCGAACTCCCAGACAACACACTCCTCAGCAGCCAGAAGGGACCCAGACCCTGGGTGAGACCCTGTCCTGCCCTTTCCTGGCACCTCCACAATCAAGCTGGGGAGCCAGATGGGACAGCCCTGGGCTGATGAGCAGGCAACTGAAATCATGTTTTCAGTGCCACGGTGGGTGGGGAAAAGCACCTCCCTCCTCCTAGGACCTTCCCACAGCGGCTGTGGCGCCCAGTGGAGCACTCTTCACCTGGAGAACGAGCCGCCTGGTCGCGGCACTCAGGAGGGGCACAGATGAGTAATGGCGGCACAGGTCCGGCTTTTGCTGGAAAGCCAGAACGAGGGGAAGGTGACTGGTCTGTGTAGAGATGCCACAGCTGGCAAGTGGAAGGCCCAAGAGAGACGGCGGGATGGCACATGCTCATGTTCAAGTCTAACGTGTGCCTTCCCTGAGGTCTCCTCGCCTGAGGAACAAGGTCTTTCTCAAGGAAAGGGCAGAGGTGAGAACACTGGTCAGGCATCAAGAGCCCTCACTCCACTCGGGCTCTGCCAGTAACAAGGTGTGGGTAACATGGCGCAGTCGGTGTTGATGAGGAGAGAGCATCCAGGCGCAAGCACATACGGCACCCCCTTACTTTACAAAAGGGAGGAGTTTCGTTCTGCTGCACATTCCTAAGAACTGTTCAAGGTCATGCAGCCAGCAAGTGACAGCCCAGTGCATGACCCTGGATTCCAGGTGGTTCTGCTGCCTACACTGCCTCAGTTTCCCCATCCGTACAAAAAAGCAGGAGATGGCATGACCTCCAACTTCCTTTCTCCTTCTGTGTGGCTGTTTCCTTTTATTGGGAGGGAAGAAGAGAGGAGGTGAGGGTCCCGGGCTACAATGCGAGTAGCTTAGCAGCTGCTAAGAAACTGGCAGGCACAGAGTAGGAGGACAGGGGTCTGGAAGGAAGGCCATGTGGTTGGGGCTACAGCCTAGTATTAAGAATTAGTATTAACCTACTAGTAAACCAAAATTCACTTCTCCCTTTCTTTCTTTCTTTCTTTCCTTTTGCTGAGGAAGATTAGGCCTGAGCTAACATCCATGCCAATCTTCCTCCACATTATATGTGGGTCACTGCCACAGCATGGCTGACAACCGGTGTGTAGGTTGGCACCCAGGATCCAAACCTGCCAACCAGGGCTACTGAAGCAGAGCGCGCCAAACTTAACCATTACACCACAGGGCCAGCCCCAAAACTCACTTTTTAAATTGTGTTTTGCCAAAGGGAGGAAGAAATAACAGCTGTTCATACTCAATGGCGAAGAGGTAACAGCATACCCAATAGCGAAAAGCTGAAAGTTTTTCCTCTAATATCAGGAACAAGAAAAGGATGCCCACTCTCACCACTTTTATTCAACATAGTACTGGAAGTCCTAGCCAGAGCAATTAGGCAAGAATAGGAAATAAAAGACATCCAAATTGGAAAAGAAGTAAAATTATCACTATTTGTGGATGACATGATATTACACATAGAAAACCCTAAGTACTCTACCAAAAAACTATTAAGAATTAATAAACGAATTCAGTAAAGTTGCAGGATATAAAATCAATACACAGAAATCTGTTTCATTTCATACGCTAATAACAAACTATCAGAGAAATTAAGAAAAAAAATTCCATTTACAATTGTATCAAAAAGAATAAAATACTTAGGAATAAATTTAACCAAGGAAGTGAAAGACCTGTACACTTGAAACTATAAGGCAATGATGAAAGAAACTGAAGACACAAATAAATGGGAAGATTTCTGTGTTCATAGATTGAAAGAATTAATATTGTCAAAATGTCCATCTACAAATTCAATGCAATCCCTATCAAAATTCCAATGGCATTTTTCCCAGAAATAGAACAAACAATCCAAAAATTGGCATGAAACCACAAAGGATCCCCACAGCCAAAGCAATCTTGAGAAAGAACAAGGTTGGAGGCATCATGCTCCTTGATTTCAAACTATATTAGAAAGCTACAGTGATCAGAACAGTATGGCACTGGTACAAACACAGACATACAGATCAATGGAACAGAACAGAGAGCTCAGAAATCAACCCATGAATATAAGGTCAATTAATTTATGACAAAAGAACCAAGACTATATTACGGGGAAAGGGCAGTCTCTTGAATAAATGGCACTGGGGAAACAGGACAGCCATATGCAAAAGAATAAAACTGAACCTCTATCTTACTCCACATACACAAAAATAAACTCAAAATGGATTAAAGACTTGAACGTAGGACCTGAAACCATAAAACTCCTGGAAGAAAACATAGACGGTAAGCTCTATGACGTGACTTTTTTAGATCTGACACCAAAAGTATAGGCAACAAAAGCAAAATAAACAAGAAAAGCAAAAATAAACAAGTGGGACTACATCAAACTAAAAAGTTTTTATACAGCAAAGGAAATCATCAAGAAAATTAAAAGGCAACCTTCCAAACGGGAGAGAATATTTGCAAACCATATATTTGATAAGGGATTAATATACAAAATATATAAAGAACTCACACAACTCGATAGCAAAAAAGCAAACAATCCAATTAAAAAATGGGCAGAACATCTGAACAGACATTTTTCCAAAGAAGACATACAAATGGCCAACAGGTACATGAAAAGGTGTTCAACATCACTAACCAACAGGGAAATGCAAATCAAAACCACACTCAGATATCATCTCACACCTCTCAGAATGGCTATTATCAAAAAGACAAGAAACAACAAGTGTTGGCAAGGGTGTGGAGAAAAGGGAACCCTTGCACACTGTTGGTGGGAATGTAAACTGGTACAGCCACTATGGAAACCAGAATGGAGGTGACTCAAAAAATTAAAAATAGAAATACCATATGATTCAGCAATTCCACTTCAAGGTATATATCTGAAGAAAATGAAATCACTATCTCAGAGATATCTGTGCCCCCATGTTCACTGCAGCATTATTAACAATAGCCAAGACATGGAAACAACCTAAGAGTTCATTAACGGATGAATGGATCAAGAAAATGCAGAAAAAGAAAATAGATATATATATTATTTAGCCATAAAAAAGAATGAAATCTTGCCACTTGCAACAACATGGATGGACCTAGAGGGCATTATGCTAAGAGAAATAAGTCAGACAGAAAGACAAATACCAAATGATCTCACTCATATGTAGAATCTACAAAAAAACCCCCAGAAACTGAGCTCACACACAGAGAACAGATTGGTGGTTGCCAGGGACGGGTGATGGGGGTGGGCCAAATGGGTAAAGGAGGTCAAAAGGTACAAACTTCTAGTTATAAAATAAATGAGTCATGAGGATATAATGTACAGCATGGGGACTACAGTTAATAATACTGTATTGCATATCTGAAAATTGCTAAGAAAGTAAATCTTAAAAGTTAGCACAAGAAAAAAAATTCTCTAACTATGCACGATGAATATTAACTAGACTTATTGTAGTGATCATTTTGCAAAATATACAAATAAAGTCATGCACCAAACAGTGACATTTTGGTCAACAATGGACTGCATGTATGATGGTGGTCCCATAAGATTAGTACCATACAGCCTAAGTGTGTAGTAGGCTGTACCATCTGGGTTTAAGTACAAGCTATGATGCTCACACAGTGACAACAGTGCCTAACAAAGTGTGTCTCAGAACGTATCCCAGTCATTAAGGGACACATGGGTGTATCCAATAATTACGCTGTACATCTAAAACTAATATAAAGTTGTATATCAATTATATCCCAATAAAAAAACAAAATTATTATTAACCTACTAACAACTCAAAATTCACTTTTTAAAATTGTGTTTTGCCAAAGGGAGGAAAAAAAATCCACTTTTAAAAATAACTTCTTTGCAAATAATGTAATAAAACTGCTGATACAAAAGAAAAAGTCTGGGACTGTTCGTTTAACTGGACTGCTATGAGAATTACTTTATGAATTAAACCCAGTATGTAAGAGTTCTGAGGTTACATTAAAATATTGCTTTATTAGCTTTTTCCACTGAATAGAACAGTACAGAAGATGGACCTCCTGGATGAAGTGCACTGTCTCCACTATCAAACATCTTTACTGAAAACCTGATAAGCAAGCAGCTGGGAACGAACACCTGGGAGGTGTGACGTGACCACCTTCCAAGAGCAGGTGCTGTGGCCTGGGAGACAAGGCCCAGGGACAAAACAGGACAGGATGCATACGAGCCAAAATTACTAATGCCAGGAAAAGGCATTATATTTTCCCAAAGTTTAGTAAGGTTTATAAAGGATCAAACTTCCCTTCAAATTATTAGAATACTGAGACAGTATCAAAAATGACAAGGCCCTCAAAACTGGAATGAGGCTGCGCTTGCTAGCATTTGACCCAGCTGCTCACAGAGTGCTGGAGTGTGGGATGCTGTTCACAACTTTAACTAGCCTGCCAGGACTCTAGGCTCAGCTGTTTGAGGGAGGAAGCCACACCACTGTATCATGAGACAACTTGACTAAACATGCCTTCTTGATCTTTTCTGTGAAATACCCACCAAAATTTAAAAAAAAAAAAGGCTGGCAAGAGCACTGACCCTTTGTCAGGATGGGGTGTCTTCCGAACTGTGACAATCAGTCAGTCATGCCAGTACCTGTAAGTCTGCAAGCTGCAGAGTTGATTTCCCTTGGAGACACAAGGCCTGAGCAATGAAAGCATGCAGATCCTCCAGGCACAGAGTGTCCACCTGAAAGTGAAAAAGAGAGCCCAGCATTAGTTCTGGGGAAAATCTGGACAAATGAATCTCAACACTAAGCACAGGCGCCCACACACGGTGTGTCTAGACCTCAGGCAGCAGCCGGACAGCAGAGAAGATGCAAGCAGAAGTGAGTACGCCTGACCTCCCTACCCCCATCCACAGTCCTGGTGTAAAGCTCTCCACAATGCCCAGGGAAGCTGGACAGGGAGCCTGGATACTGTCTAGCAATGCAGAAAGCCCCAGTGCGCCTGGGAGGAATCAGGAGCTACGACCAGGTCTCAGTCCTAGGGAGATACAAGTGATCATTTTTTGGCACAAATGTGCAGAGCTGGCAATTCAAGGGTTCCCAGACAGAGAGCACCCACAGCTGGCCTGAGCTGGACTGGTTAGGGCTGGGATAAACATTTACCCTCACCAGCCCAGATGAAACTTTTGTCCTTGGATCCAGTTTAAAGGAAACCAGGATCCCCAAAATGAGTCCCCTCCAATCCTTTGTGGAATCAAAATGTCTAATCAAGGTGTGAGAGAAAAACAAGGAGAGACAGCAACATGGAGAAAGCGACAGATGGGGAATAGCTGGGTCTGAAGTAAACTGTGGAAATGAGGAGAGGTCCTGAGAGCACAGAAGACAGAGCCAGGCTGATGCCATCAGCAGCAGACTGCTCTACTGCACCACCTCGCACAGGATGACAAGGCGGCAACTTTTGTAGCCCAGCCACCAAATTCTGCTAGCCAGATAAAAGCACCACAGTATCCACTTGTAAAACAGTTCCACCATCACCCTAAGAATACGAAAACTTCCTTTTGTAGGGAAATGCATCTGTGGCAAGTAAAGGTTTGAGGGAAAAAAATAAGAAAACAATAACACACCCATGGGGAACAATTTTGATTCTTCCTGGGTGATAAAAAACGGCTAACATGGGTACTCCCAAGAAAAATGATGCCACCAAAAGTCTGAAAGACTGTTCATGGGGGACTCCTGCTTCCCCTAACTGTGACCTGCCCAGTTTCTCTTGGAGGAAGGTGGTGTCTAGGCTCTCAGCTGGCATGTACTCCTGCACTGTCACCTGCACCCGTCATGAGACACTGAGTGATGAAGACCTACTGACATTCTCACTGACCCCAGCACTGTCCTACTCCATTTTTATTACAAAGCAGTTGTTGACTTTGTATGAATGACAGTTATAATTATTTCAGGGAAAAACAAAAAATCTACAAATGTGTAGTGCTTTTGATCAAGAAAACAGATCTCAATCATACAAGTAAGACCAAGAAGAGAATATATTCTTTGTAAATCCATAAACCCCCATCTCTCTCCATCTAGACTTAAGTTTGTTGGCATGTAATTCTACTTCTTACCATTAGCAACTCTTAACGAAGGCTGATTTTAAAATATCAACCTATGAGAAAAGAATAACTATTTCATATGTCATATCTTTTCACAGTTAACCAATTTTATACTCTGCCACCACCTTTGTGGTTAACAATCTAAAATATATCAGAGGGTGTCTGATTCTTAGTGATACCAAGTTTTTAGAATTTCACATATTGGATATTATTATTATAAAGTATTTGCTCTATTATACATTATAAAACACATGTATACTTCCTATGATGTAAACTTACCCTTCCAGAGAATTTTCTCAGGTAAGCCTTTAATAAAAATTTTGTTGTTGTTAACTTGCAGGTTGGACTAACTGAGAGCATTTAGATTTTCTATAAGTTTTGTACACTGAAAAGTACGTAATTTTAAGCCATACTGTACATCCAAACATCTAATTTAGGCTTAACTATATAGAAGTATAACATTTTTGTAAATTTATCTTTTTAGCCTTATTAATCCTGAGAGAACAATTATCCCTATGAATAATAACACAGTACCTTCTTAATCTATGGGATACCACTGAGGTGTTGCTTTGTTGTTTTCCAGTTTTAGAAAGTTCCAATTTAAATGTGTGCTTTAAGTCAAACCAACACCGAGCCTATCTCATACTGACTTAAACTCAAGAGATTTTTATTTAAAAGGCAATTAGTAGAAAGAAGGTGAAAGCGGAAATTGTCCCCCTGATGCTTGTTTTGCTTCAGGTTCATATAAACATATGAGATGTAAAGCTACTATTCTGCCATTTGGGTTTTTTTCTGCTGGAAGTGGTTTTTCATAACCAAGCAGAGCTATGTTGAGTAACTACAAATGGGCTCAACAACCCATCTCTCCTGCTGGAAAGAATAATTCAAAATGTACGTCCTAGGAGTGCTAACACACGGCATTACTATCCATATAGACACATACAGCATTGAGAAGAAAACACACTTATTGGTAAGGATGAGAAAACTCAGCTAGTGGTTATCTTCCCCTTCCCAATTCCCACCATGGCTCATTTCAGCCACAGCCACCTGTGGGTTAATAAACAACGGACAGAAAATATTAACTGGTAATATATGCATGAATATATAACAATATCAAAAGAAGTATCTTTTTACACTTAAATATTAAATAATCCTGCTGTCCTCTATTAATTTATACTTGCTAAGTCTCGTGCAAAGAAACATTCTACTCAAAATAATAATGCAAAAACTGAAGTTTATACTGATGCATGTGAAACCAATAATGAAGCAGTAACATCTCTGAGTTACTTACTCAGTCCACGTTTTCACAAACTGCAAATGCAGATCTAGCTATAGAGTGGCAGGGCCAAGAGGACATTTAGAAAGGAGAAGTCAGTATAAGGTCCCCTCGAAATGTAAGTCTACAATAAGAGTAAGTTTCTTAAAGACAATAATTCGTAAAGTGAATTCGTGTTTGAAAAACAAAATTACAAAGCTTCCTAATCCAGGCAAATGAAAATTTGATGGTCATGCCAAAGCAGACCCAAGAGACATCACATTCGGAGATCAGTAGAGAAGACAAGGTGGCTTGAAGGGCCAAGAGTTTTGAGAAAGTCTAAATGAGGTGAAGAAATAGATGATTGTGAAGGACTTGTTATGACCACAGTGAGACAAAAGTCATTTTAACATAATGCAGCTGGCGAAGGGCAGTGGGGAGAAGAAGGGCTGGGGTGGAGGGACCTAGGCCCTTCTTCTTCTGAGGTGTCCAGCATCACCATGGATGGGGAACACTATTTAAAGGCCAATCTTTTCACTGGCCTTTATAATCTTCACATACAAACTAAGTGTAAAACTAACGAAAAAGAAATTTTCCACCCTGTTGAGGGATACTGATTAGGACCTCGTACTGCACTCCTGGGACGCGGCCCACGACTCCTGAGTTAGTAGGTGAGGAGAACACTAATGCTGAGGATACTGGGGATCATCCTCCAGACATGTCAATGGGCACCTCTCAAACGCTTCTCAGGTTTTCTGTAACATGACTGCTCCACAATCCCAGGAAGTAGCTACTCCCTTGTTCTCAGATTGGAACATGAGGCTAAGTGCTCAATAAACATTTGTTAGATGAATGAATGAATGTGACTCAGGAAAATTGAAGTCATTTGCCCAGGAGTGGAGAGCTCCTAAGGGAAAGCTGGGACTCCAGCCAGGTCAGCTAGACTGTGGAGCCAAACCTTCTCCCCACTACACAAAACCCCAGGAACAGTAATAAGCACCCGAGCAGTGACGCGAGCACAAGGGAGCTACTCCACAGCTCAAAAAGCTTGGAAAGCATAGACAAAGTGAAAGCAGGTTCCTTCACCTGAGAGGTTTCCCAAGCCTCTATCACAGTCATGCGCATTATAAACCTCTAAGTCTGAGAGTAAACAGGGCTTCTTGATCGTATGCCAATACAGAACCCTTGTTTTGGTTTTAGCGCATTTCATAGGACTAGTGTTCACAGAGCAGACACTGGATGGAGATGATGCAGGGGACTGGCCTATGGCTACATCCCAGGGCACTGCACCCCACAAGACAGGAGGGCCAAGAGTGAGGAGCGACTGCAGTGATCAGAACACAGAGCCAAGGTCACCTGCACAAAGAGGTAGATCAAGAGGCAGCACAGCGCTTTGAAAGGGTTCTCCACCGCCTGCAGCTCTTCTCTTGAGGAGGAAAGGTCGAAACAGGCCAGGAGTGTGTCCAAGCGCCGGGCTTGTATTTCTGGCTCTTGGTTCAGCCACAAGAGTTTCAAACTAGGCGTTCCCCCTATTTAAAAAAAGTCCATTTACCATTATTCTTTGCACTAGCAAGTCATAACATGCTTCTTGTAGAACTACAATAAAAGAATAGAGGACACTAACCTCTTCCCTTCCTGACATCCTTGGGCTTTAAAGCTTAAAGGAACTAGAACGTAAACATAATCAGAGCTTCCAGTATACTTTAAACACAGACTCAAGTAGTTGCAACAGAGATCATATTACCCAAAAAACCTAAAATATTTACTATATGAAAACTATCTGAAAAAACCTGAAATATTTACTTATCTTCACAGAAAAAGTTTCCCAGCCCCTGATCTAAGGTAAATGAAGAATATTCCATTATCACAGTTATTTCAAATATACTAAGGTAGCTGAAAAGCATTTTTTCTGACTATAAAAGTTATGTAATGGAACAAATTTAGAAAAATAGAAAAGCATAAAGATAAAATAAAAATAATCTACAACCCTACCTTCCAGACATAAGCACATTCTAGAATGCAAGCTCTAGCCCTTTCTTCAATGTGCATAAAATACTCATGAGCACAGCTGGGAGGCCAAGTGCCCAGTAGAGTGCACTGACACGGACAGTGCACAGAGTTTATGTGGTGTTTGCCTCATTTGCTTACATATAAGAGTTTAATACAAAAAAATTCAGCTTCACGAGATCTACTTAAAACCAATCATAGTGGCAGTGATAAATGCGAAACTTCCTGAGCAAGCGAATAGTGACAGCGCTTGTGCCTGTTATTCATTCCCAGTAGGGACAAAACTGGATGGAATGGGCTTAGCTACGCAGGTAAGATACTTCCCAGTCTGTGGCTAATAAAAGATAGGAGGGGGGCTGGCCCCGTGGACGAGTGGTTAAGTTCGCGCGCTCCGCTGCAGGTGGCCCAGTGTTTCGTTGGTTTGAATCCTGGGCGCGGACATGCCACTGCTCATCAGACCACGCTGAGGCAGCATCCCACATGCCACAACTAGACGGACCCACAACGAAGAATATACAACTATGTACCGGGGGCTTTGGGGAGAAAAAGGAAAAAAATAAAATCTTTGAAAAAAAAGATAGGAGGGTAAGAAAAATAAAACCAGCCAACCAGTGTACCAGCCTTTTTCTCACCCATGTTGTCACAAATGTTTCTGAGAAGGTTGAGAATTCACATATTCTGAGGCCTGCAATTCCAGGTGTGCTGCTAGGTCCTGAGAAGCCCCATAGGACAGATGGACAGTCACTCTTTTGGTAGAGCTTGCAGGCAAAGGCTGCCATGCAAACACACTGCAATATAAGACCATGAAGATCTCCCCAGAGGAATACTGAAGGTCAAAGAGTAATAAGTGAATCAGGGCAGGGGCACAGAAGGAGTTTCCATGGAAGAGATGACCAGGAACCTTTGGGTCGGCCTTTGCTCCATGAAGATTATTTCTTCTGGGACTAAAAGGAGGCAGCAATGGGCATCCGACAGAACCCTCCCTCCTACCCATCAATCCAACATCCCACCAATCATGCACTGGACATCTACTTCCAAGGAACCACCAGATGCCGGCCATCACGGCAGGTGATGGAGACATGAGGGGGAATGAGAAAGCCTCAGTGTCTGCCCGCAGAGAGTGCACAATCCAGTGGAGCGCACATGCATCCCCAAGTGTGAGACTCTGAGAGCATGCAGTGCAGTAGACGAACTGTGAAGAGAGGGAGCATCACAGAAGGAAGAGCGATATGAAGAGCTAGTGGGAATTAATTACAATGAGGAAGGAAAGAGCAAGTTCCAGGGAAGGGAGACACAGCGGCTAAGGTCTCTAACCCAAGAATGATGGGAAGGAACGGAAGCGTTAGCCTCAGAGTACACCGTGATGAGATGTGTGCTCTGAGAGATGACTCAGGCTACAGTGGGGATGGAAGAAGTCATGAACTAAGAGGTGGTTAGGGGACACAGTAGGCAGAGGGCAGAGGAAGACTCCAGGGTGATGGCTTCTTCACTGCAATAGAAAAGGACAGGGTCTCAGAGTGTAGCTTCCACAGCAGGGCCGTGCAGGACTCGCAGCGCATCCAGAATTGTAGGTACCAGGGAACCCATCTGGATGGAGGGGATGATTTATTCAGGTCTCAGGATCTGGAGGCTATGAGACGTAAGGAACAAAAAAGCTGGTAAGCAACTTACAGACTGATGGGTTTTATTTTACTTCCCCTGTATCTTTTATCAGATCAGCAGCCTTAGCATCACCTGGGAACTTGTCAGAAATGCAAATTCTTGGGTCCCATACAAGACCTACTGGACCAGAAATTCCAGGGGTGGCGCAGCATCTGTTGTGTCATGCCCTCCAGATGATTCTGATGCAGGCAAAGACAGAAGGCCACTCCACATTCCTCAACAAAAAGCTAAGAAATCACTTACACAGACAAAAAGAGAATAACTTACCAATAATAAAGAAATCGGTCCTTGAGAAAGTCCAATGATACATAATAGATTATAGAAAACCACACACTTGAAAAACCACACCCTCATCAATCTCTTTAATATCAGAGAATTTTAATCTAAATTCAACCAGTAACTTATTTAATCAAGAAATAAGGATTGAATGCCCATCTGTACATTGTCGGCGATCTCTACAGCTTCCTCCAGAAGGTGAGGATCTTTATTTTTAATACAAGATAGCATGTTCTGAGGTTATTGTCTTTTACGCCACAAGCGGCACATCCCTCAAGCACATGGAGAGGCTCTGGTGACTCTGCAGAAAGGCCTGAGTCAGATGCTTGTTGGTTCGTTTCCTAAGTGCAGTAAAGTGTGGGCTCCTCCCAACCACCCAGAGACTGCTCAGCTGACCCGTGACCAGGGAGAGCATGAATTTCTTTGAAGGACCATTAGATTAGTTCTCTTCTACAGGTAAACTTGCTCTAAGCAAACTGGTTTTTAACTCTGGTGTGACAACCTGAGGGCTGAGCCTACCAAACACAAAGGAAATTGTTAGCAACTTCAGTTTAGAAGAAACATATTTTGATCAGAACTCGAAGGCAGATCAGCTCAGAGGAGAGCAGCTAAAACTATCTGCTGTGGAAGAGAGCTCCTCTCTCCCTGCCACACACACGCACACACTCATCTAGGTCGTGGGCACAGACAGACTCTGCCAGAAAAGATCAAGGGTGGCCCTCACATTTCACCCAAGCTCCAGGGGCAGCTGAGATGTTTCAAAGAACAATTCAGAGACCTAAACAAGCAATCTGGTCTCTAGGTCACCAACTAGCATCTCATCTAAAACTCATCAGTTTCAAAAACCTAATTTCCTGACTTGGTAAAAGTTTTTGTATTAATAGATGGACAGAAAAGCCTAGGAGCTTTTCAAGAGGGACTGAGCCCCAGAGGGCAGAGCAGAGGGCGGGGAAGAAGGTCGTTTCTATGAATGACAACTCTGAAGACTGTCTTGAGGACCCAATCTCTGGGTGGAGGGTTGCTGGACACACCTCATTAGTAACAAAGCAATGGCCTGTTTGTGTTTTTACAGCTATAAACACAAGTGAATGAATAAAGATACCCCTAGATTCTAAGCCATGGCACTTCTACGTGCTTTTTATACAGAAGTAAGTATTTTAATAGCTAGGTTTTAGAATTATCTTATGATTATCTTCCTTGCATATTCCTAGGGTGAGAAAAACCATAAAACTACCTGGCTTGTGTCTACTCTCAGGAGATGAGAAGTGAAACATCTGGAAATTAACTTGAATATATCTTATGTCTTAAATTTACTTGTGAAGGTTTTAACCCATAAGTTCAATTTAAATGAATATTTATTTAGCATTCTCTGCTTGGCAGAGAATTCCCGGCCAAGAGAAAGCAAAATTTAAAGCCCTGACTATTCACACGCAAACTGAATCTTTACTCTGGCTGGATGGATTTCAAGAGCCTATTTATAATAGGCAAAAAAATTCCTTCAGATATAAATGGAGTAGAATGCACTGCCATCTCAAAATATTAAACTCTACACTTAGATGGAGGAGTCATCTAACTTCATGCAAAATGGAAGTTATACTGCTTCTATCTAATGCATTCAAAATACAGTGAATGTGGCTATAAAAAGCAGTCAGTGTAAAATTCAACCATTAGCTTGTGACTCACGTGTATTTGTAACACATTTATTTGCAAAGCTTCAAATTATTTTTATAAATAGAAGAAAAACCACTATTGAGGTTTTAAATCCATTTATCTTGATCCCTGACATCAGACGGGCTGGTCGAGAGGCTGGCATCCATGTGAGCATCTCCTCACCAAGTGCATGTTCATGCACTTGTACCAGCCAGAGGAACCTCTAAGATTTGATAAGACCTTCTTGACCTGTATACATCAAGTGTCAACATGAAAATCTTCAAAAGAGTATATAAGAGGAGATGAACAAAGAAAACTTCACTACAATTGTTTAACCAATGATGGAATGAGTCAAATATAGTGCCTTCATGAAATGTGTAACTTGACCTCATTTCATTTTGTAAAATAGTCTTCTAAGATGGTCTGCAAGAGTTTGGTGAGTCAAATGTCCTTATAGAGCCAAGAAATAGTAAGTTTACTTACCGATTCTTGAACAACACTTTAAAACAGTCATTCTATATAGACAAATTACCAAGTAGATGTGTGCAATTAACTTTTCTAGATTTCTAAAATAAGGATATGCTTATAATGATGAAAAAATGACACTGAAAAGAGAAAAAAAATCACCTATACTTTGTCTAAAGAAGAACCTCCAGTTCTGAAGATAAAAAAGCAATTTCAAATGCTTGCCTGTTGTTTGGTCCAAGACTCACTTCACAAAATGCAGAACATCTGTACATGAGGAAGAATGAGAGTGGAGTTGTGCCCTGGGAATGAACACACACACGGACAACTTGAGGGACATTTAAGAGTTGTGTCTGGGGAAAGGAAGCTAAACTTCAAGGTACACCCTACTTGTGTTATCAGAAACATCATCTTTCATGACATATTTTAAGATAAATGACATGTAATATAGATAATATATATGAATGTGTGTGTGTGTATATATATATATAGAAATATATCTTATATGTGTGTGTGTGTATGTATGTGTGTATATATATATATATATCCAAATGTGTATATATATCCTAGACATACACACACACAAAGACGGGAACACAGATGGGAATATATGCATTTAAATGAGATTCCTGAATAAAATATATCAGTAATAAAATTTATTTTTCTACTCCCTGGCGGGTCATTTTAATTCTTTCCCTTTCCTAATTTTTAGGTAATTTCTATAATTTTTCTGCTCCCCTTCTATCTCCTTTCCACTTTATTGAAAAAGATCTGTGATTTCTTTTTTATTTCTACCATTTAAAAACAACATGAGCATTAACTTATTGTGCTAACAGAGGAAAAAGTCTTTTTTAAAAAAAGAATACTCTGAGGGACTGGTCCCATGGCCTAGTGGTTAAGTTCGATTCGCTCCACTTTGGCAGCCCAGGTTCAGTTCCTGGGTGCGGACCTACACTTCTCATTGGCAGCCATGCTGAGGCAGCAACTCACATACAAAATAAGAGGCCTAGCATGGAAGTTAGCTCAGGGCAAATCTTCCTCAAGCAAAAAGAGGAAGATGGGCAACAGATATTAGCTCAGGGTGAATCTTTCTCAGCCAAAAAAACAAACAAACAAAAAGAGCACTCTGGCGACTATATTGGGAGACTGAAAATGCAGCATTTATGAGATCAAGCTAATTAAAACTATCTCAGGAGAACAAGGAACATCAGATATGGTGTCCCAAGGTAATGCTCAACTCTGTGACAACCCTGCTGCTGGTCTGACTTGGGAGCAACTGCTCTAGTCACGGAAAAGATCATGTGGCACCTATGTATAAGGTAGGTTTCCTGACACAGTGGAAAGAGAGGATCAATCAGCAGGATTCCACTGTCTTTAATCATACACTGTTTGATCAATGGAAAATGCTGTAACAGGAATGTGGATGGTCCATCTTTCATTTTAATCTAAAAACCACTTGGTATTTTTCCTCATGGATATAGAAAGGCATTAAATATTAAAGTTTTGTCATTTTTGTATCATTATGAACATAAGCACAAACAAAGAGAGTCATTTGTCTAAACCACCTGCAACAACAGTTAAAGTCACGTTTCCAGGTCTCTGGCAATGTCCTGAACATGTCCTTTAGACAAGGCCCTCTGTGCAGGAAATGAGCTTCCCAAGTTCCCTCTAGAAGCAGAATCCTGACATGCAGTCTGTGCAGGCCATGAGTACAAGCTTTGCAATTCCAGTAGTGCCAGGGAGAATGGTTTCATAAGCCCCAGAAGTAGTCTCTCTGATAACTACATGACTTCTAGAGTTTATTAAAACATTATATGAAGTGGCCTTTAAAATTAACTCATAATATAACAATGAATAGCCAAATATTCTCCTTAAATCATGCCATGAAGAGAACTATAATAATCCACTTCCACATTACTTTTGGAAAGATACTATAAGATGAAAATTACACAAACAACAAAACATTTCTGGAAAATTATTTTGGCTATTTTTAAAAAATACTTCTTGCTGTAAAAACAAATGCCAATTCATCTGAATTTGTTTTGGCAATAAGTACCTTTTTAGGTTTGAGTGTATCACTGACTGAGAGAATAAGGAAATTCTGTAATAACTTTCCTCAATTTTTCTCCCAATACAATTCCAATCGAAAAACATTTTGCAGTGCTCAAATCCTTATTTGGTAAATTACAGGCTTGTGTGATGGAAAATAATAGTGACATGAGAGAATTTAACAGATACAAAAATGGAACATCAAAATTTTAGAAAAATATTTGCTCTCTGAAACAATGAGAAGGGCCACTAAGAATAAACACTAAACCCACCCTCCTCTTCCTAACTGTCTGTATGGAGACACTGTCCCCTACAGTCATGAATTCCCAACCTTTTCCAGATGTTAAGAACTCATAGGAAGAAAGGATTTCCTTCAGCTGATTCTAGGTGAACCCTGTTTTTCCTTCTCTCCCATTACATGTTTGAAGATACCCGTCACGAGGAGAAAACTGACTCTTCCAGTTAAAATAATTGTCCTTTCTCTCTCCTTTCCAGTTCATCAAAATACACTTTCAGTGGTGAGAAGAGCTGATTCAAGCAGAGTAGGGAAAACCCAATCCTGCTACTTCACTGGATGTCTACTGAGCAACAACTAGGCGTCAGGCCCTGGGGATGGGCAGTAATGGGCCTGGACCCACAACCATGCTCCTCCGCCTGTTTCTCTCTCTCCCCCTGGCGTGGACCTTGAGTTAGGAGCTGAGGGAGTGAGGTAGAGCAAGCAACACACAGGCTGGCCAGGGCAAATTTGTGTAATGCCCTTTCCTCTGCTGTTTTAGAATTTTACTAGATAGATACATTCCTCTTAGACCCAGCGTTGAAATGAAAATTAGTCTATGTGCAGTTCTGGAAAAATGTTTCCACAACAAATCCATTATTAGATGTGTATCATCTGTGAACAAGCAAGTGATTTATTTACATCAAGGCTGTCTGTACCTGCAAGATTCATCGGCAGAGGCCTGACGAGGTCTGGGTGCTTCAGCGGGTTCCCAGAGTACACAAACCACTCCTTGACAGTGGGGCAGGAGCTAGAATCATCTGAGAAAAGAAAGCTGCGTCAGGAGATGCGTGTGAGTACGAACACTTGTCACCAGACTCAGAGAGCAACAGACCACCTCTGCCTGGCTAATCCAAGTGGTGAGCACAGTGCATGCTCATGTCCAAGGTCACTGAGAGGGGCCTCAGGCATCCAACAGAGGGCCCCCTACTCTCCCATCTGAGGGATCTTTCAACAAGAACAGCCTCTGGGGTGGGGGAATGGCTGGCTCAGGAAATCAAGGCAGAGTTTACCACCTGGATGGTGCCTACAATGTCCTTCTCGCTTCCCTCCCCCCTCACACTGTTTCAGAAAACAGGGAAAACTGTGGGAATATGATCATCCTTTCTGATCTAAATTCAGTATTTTATGCAACTATCAAAACTATTATTATGTCAGACAATTCAAAATCTGTTAGAAATAATCTAGAACAAAGGCATTTTTGCATGTGGGTGGACTGTTAATTGCTATAAAGAGTTCAGCTTGACTTCCATTCTGCCACCTTCCTCAGCAAAGCCACGGGGAAGGAAGGCTTTCCCACTCCATCTGTGTTCTCACTTAGCCTGTCTCTTTCCAGCAGGGGAACTCCCTGCTCCCATGCCTGCTTCCCTCTAGCTGCCGCAGGGCCTGTCCTCCCTCAGGGCCCTCCCTGTCAGAAAAACTCTCTCCGCAACAAGCCTATCCCTTTTCTCCACTCTGGCACTGGCCGCTGGATCAGGCTCCTGACCATTTCTCATCTTCAGTCTCCTCCCCATCCTCACCATTCCCCCTGTAAACAGAGGTTTTTTGGTTTTTGCGTTTGTTGAAGTGAAAGTTTCACCAGGTTGCTCTCCCTCACTAAGATCCCCCAATAGCTGCTTAAGGTGCCAGAATAAAAGGACAGATGACCAATTCTAACCAGATGCTGCTGGCCTGGGTGGACCAGGGAGCCCCTGGCTCTCACTCCCACATCAGGGCTCCCTGCTGGAGTACTTCAGGGCCCTCATACTCCCACACCTCATCTTACCTCCGCATTTGGACATGGTGTTCCTTGGGCTGGACTCTCTTCTTCCCCACCCAAGCCTCCTCTCTGAAGCCCACCTCCCTCGATGGGCACTCGGTTAACTCCTACTTTTCCTTTATACTAGGGGAATCAAACCCTTCTCCTAAGCACGCGCTTTGTCCCACCACAGGTTATTGGCTAGACTACAGCAGATGCTACTTCCTTACCCTAGCTAGCCACCCCAACCGTGGCCTCCTGACAGCAAGAACTGTGTCTTCTTCATACAGAGTCCTTCTCATAAAATCTTCTACATATAACTACGACAGTTCTCCCTGGGAACAAAATTGTGAAACTGTCTATACTTCCAACCTCGCTCCCTAAAAACTCTGACAAGATTATGTGAACACACAAACTCTCAAAAGTGCCTCCTCCTCTCACATGATCTGGAGGGTCTGTGGGCATGTGTGGGGGTGGCACTGGCAGGGGAAAGAGAATGAGGAGAAGCAATGTCAATTTTAATGCCTCAAATACTCTGATTTTCCAGTTTGGTAACAACTCTCCAGGCTTCTTTAAAAATATACTTGTCCTTAGGATTCTGTACTATTTTTATACTGCTGGTTTAATCTATAATTGCATGTGGCCTTAGTCCTTAAAAAAATAGAAAAACTTCCCAAACATTCTTTTTGTGTACATTTTTGGGAAAAAAAATCACCTTTTAGGTCACTGTCTAGGACTCTAATGAGTTGATGGCCTACAGGCACTTTGCAAAGGTGCCACACTAACTGGACAGTGAGTATCACACACAGGGCTGACCACTCCGTCACAAAACTGTCAGCCCTCTCCAACTTCCATGGGGGACTCCCAGAGTGTCTGCTGGGTGAGAATGCAGAGAGACCAACCAGGAAAAAGGACAACGTGCACAGGTTTCCTCCAACACTGTTAACCAGGGAGATGTAAAGAGGAGACAGAATAGATTCTTTACTTTGCATCTTTCTGAGTTTCTTCTATTTCCTAAAGTTTATAAGGTTTCATAGCAGTTTAAGCTAAGAATAACATTAGGGAGACTGAAAAACAGAGACAGAGTTGGAATCAGAGGTAAGAATGGGTATGAAGCCAGGGACGGGCTAGAAACTGAGTGACTTCAGGTTTCTCCCCCTTGGGGCCACAAGGCCATTGAGCCATCTAAATATCATATATTCAACTATATAAAACACAACCAAGCACTCCATAAAGAAGCACCCTCCAACATAATCAGATGAACTGTAGTATCCAATAGATCAGTATCCAAACTGTACCCATAATTAGGGACTTTGAAGTATCAACATATCAATTCAGTGCCTTGCCTTCTGACTCGGACATCTAGTGTCTACAGCTGTGCAAGTTTAAGAGCTTGGCTCTGGTGCTTAGAGTCCACAGCCGTGGAGTTAAAGGCACCTTTGATTCTAAATTTCACTTTAAATGAGTGGCTCCCACCTGCCAATCAGACTGGCTTGGAGACAGCTGCTCACCTAGTGGGATTCGAGAGACCTCACATTCCCTCCCCTGTCTGAAATTCAACCATTAGAGTTACCCCTTTCTAAAGAAGGCCTTGCTAAATCCAGATACTCCTGAAGAGGTCGTATTTTACACACACACTCAACAAACATGTATCGATCACCTAATTCACAGAAGAAATCCCGAGGGGCAGCAAAATGCTCCCTGAACAGTCAGTCCCTGCTAGCTCAGCTTACAGCCCCATGGTGAGGAGGGACATCAGACAAATAAGCACTTAAACACGCAGGTGTAAACTGTGATAAGCTGAAGAACGAAAACACAAGGTGCTTTCAGAGAGGAGCTTACTACTTTTGATGAGGGAATAGGGGAGGAATTCGAAGGAGTTCGTTTTGAAGGGCTTGAGGGATACATAGAATTGATCAGAAGAATGGCCTGAGCCAGAAAAATAAATTCTGTATTTGTCAACATAGATATCGTTTTTAAAGCAATGCAAGTGAATGAGACAGCTTGGGTGTAAAAGGCCCTCCAACACATGGAGGTCAGCAGAGAGCACAGAGGGAAGGGAGGAAGGTGGGTCACCAATACCAGGGGTTCAGGGAGGAGCTGGATGGGCAGAGCTGCAGTAGAGAGAACAGAGAGAGGCTGTGGACTCATCCAGGGCCTCAGGACAGGGGCCTCAATGGAGAGAGGAAGGAAGGAGGGAAACTTTCCCATAAGAGCTGAGAATGAGGTGGTGAGATATTCCCGTAATGTAGGGAAAACAAACCAGGAATTAAAAGATGAAGAAACACAGATCAACCCAGGAAGTTGAACATCCATCTCTTAGCAGTTCAAATAAAAGAAAACAGAGATAACAGAGGGGAGAAAAATTTTCAAACATAAAAGATAGAGAATATAAAAAAACTTTCCAAGAGAAAAAAAGTGACCATAAGAGGAACAAGAATCATGTTAGCACTCAACTTCATCAGCACCTAGAATACTACACAAGGGCCGGGGGACAGCCAAGATGGGGAAGAGCTGATGACCAGAGGACACGAGGGGATGGCCAAGACGGGGCAGAGCTGATGACCAGAGAACCATGAGGGATGGCTGAGAAAGGACACAGCTGATGACCAGAGGACCGTGAGGGATGGCTGAGATGGGGCAGAGCTGATGACCAGAGGACAGTGGCATGATAACCAAGATGTGGTGGTGGTGCTGCTGACCAGTCGTCTCACCAACAGCTCCAGATCTGGACAAACTTTTGAAGGCACTGCATTTTCGTGTTGGACAGTCATCATTCCAATATGCTACCTAGAGACACTCTGTAGACTACAGCCTAGGGACGGAGAGCCCTAGCTAGGTGAGAAAGTCTCTGTGACAAGGAGACAGTCTGCAGATCAAGGCTGTCACAACAGCTAGGACTACAGGGCGGCATACTTGAGAGTTGGTGAGGTGCAGAAAGGGGCCCCAGAAATCGGCACTGGAGTGCCCTTGAGCTCCTAGTTGAGGACTGAGCTCTGTGTGTCCAGCGCAAAACTCAGTGAGGCCAGACAAGACAACTACTGGGTTCCCTGCTGACCAACTACTAGAGCCTGCATGGGACTCCAGACATTGAGTCCCAACAGCCAAGGTGCAGAGACCTCATTAAATACCTGGCACTCAGGTGACAGCCCAGGAAGGCTGAGCCTCAGGAGTGGGGCCACTCTAGGTCTAGGGTGAGATTTCTATAGCCTCACTCTAATAAAGTGGAAGGCAGGCCCTGAAACAGAAGTCAATACCCTTCACAGACCCAAAATCTTCCAGCATAAAATCAAAAACTACTGGACATGAGAATAAGTAGGAACACAGGGACCCATTATGAGGAGAAAAGTCAATAAACAGACACAGACCCAGAAATGAGAAGGATGATGGAATTAGTAAACAAAGACTTGAAAACAGCTAATGTGAATAATTTTAAGGATTTAAAGGAAAACATGAAGACAAGAAAGAAATGGAAATTGAAAAAAATATCTAAAAAACACAGTATCTGAAATGACAGATGAGTTAATAGTAGATTAGATGTTCCCAAAGAAAGGCTTGGTAAACTTGAAAACAGAGCAACAGGAAATACCCAAATTGAAGCAGAGAGAAAAAAGCCTTCAAAACTAGTCTTGGTGCCTGAGGGACACTAGGAGGTGTAAACCATACATGTAACTGGAGGCCCAGAGCGAGAGATGAAAGTAATGAAGACAGAAAACAATATTTGGTGGAATAATGCTCAATTTTTTTTCAAATTTGAAAGGAAACATAGATACGAGCAGCTCAAGAATCCTCAGTGGAATAAAGGCAGAGTAAACCACTCCACAGCTCACCTTAAACAAATTGCTAAAAACCAGTGATCGGGTGAAAAATCTTAAAGAAGCCAGAGGGAAAAACACTTACTACATGTGAGGAACAACAAGAAGAAGGACCATTGTCATCTCATGAGAAACAACACAAGCCAGACACAACCTAACGACATTTTTAAAGTGCTGAACAAAAATACCTAAAATTATACATCCAGCAAAATTATGTTCTGAAATAAAGATATTTTCAGGAAAAAAAAACTCAGGAAATTAAAATGAGCACAACAAGAAATGTGGAAGAAAGTTCTTGTGTGGAAGAAACACAATACTCAAGGAAACTTGGATCTACAGAGAAGAATAAAGAGTACCAGAAACGGTGTACTGAAACATTTTTTCTCATTTATTAATTACTTTAATAAAAGACAACTGTTTACAGTAAGGGCTGGAAAATAACGGCCCATGGGTGAAATCTGGCTCGTTTTTATACAGTCTGAAAGCTAATAATACTTTTCATATTACTTAAATGACTAGAAAATGATCTAAAGAAGAACATTCTGTGACACAGGAATATTATATAAAATTCAGATTTTGTGACACGGGAAAACTAGATAAAGCTTTCTTGGCACACAGCCACACTCCTTCACTGACACTGTCTATGTCCACTTTTGCACTACAGCAGCAGAGCTGAGAATTTGTGACAGAGACTGTGGGGCCCACAAAGACTAAAATATTTATCATCACGCAGCCCTTCACAGAAAAAGTTTGCCACCCCTGATTTAAAGTAAAAATAAGAATCATGTATTATGGGGTTTAAAATATATGCATAATCTCAAAAGATGACGTCCTTTGTGTTGCCATTTACAAAACACTCTCAAAATGACCAAAGTGTAGACATAGGGTACAGACTAGTGGTCATAGCAGGGGACAGAGACAGAGGGCAGGGCACAAAGAGGCAGGATGAGGGAGTTTCTTTGTGGTAACTGACCAGTTCTGTATCGCAACATGTAGCGATGGACCAGTTCTATATTGTGACATGAGGCAATGGATCAGTTCTGTATAGTGACATGGGGTAAAACTTTATAGAACTATACGTACACGAATGAATGGGGAAAGAATGAATAAAGTCTGTAGTCTACTTAAAAGTATTGTACCAACGTCAATTTCCTGGCTTTGATACTATACTTGATTATACAAAATGTCATCTTCAGGGGAAGCTGGGTGAAGGGTACATGGAACTCGAAATACTATTTCTGCAACTTCTCTGAGTGTATAATTACTTCAAAGTAAAAAGTTTAAAAAATATACAGAAGACATAAAGCAACAATAGCAAAAATGATGGGGAGAATGAAAGTATACTGTTGTGAGGTTTTCACATTACACATAAAGTGGTATAATACTATTTGAAAGCAAATTGTGATAAGTTAAAGATGTATATTATAAACAGTAGAGCAACCATGAAAAAAATCAGGTAAATCTAATAATCCAAGAGCATATTTGAGTAATTTTTCCTATTATTGTGGTTATCTAATAAAGTCATCTATATGGCTGTAAATAATTTGCACTAAGAAAGTACGAAATTTAAATTAGTGAAGTTTATATATTTTAACCTCATTTAACAAAATATTCTAAAAACAATTCCAGGCAAATATTATTCTTTAATGTAAAGTTTTCTCATGATGAAGATAACTTTTTTTAATCATTAGAGTCAATGTGTAATCATTCATGCTAAGAATGAATATGGGCAGAGAGCCACATAAGAAATAGAAAAAAATTATTTAAACAATATCTGGTCCCAAAGTTTATTACGCAGTTCTTCTGTTTCCGTTTTTAAATCAGTTTAAACATCTTTCTCATGTCTTCCTTAGGTCACATAAGTGTTTGAACTCTCACAGCACAGACGGGAGAAAGCAGTACATACTGGGTAGTGTAAGGAATCTAATAATAACTGGATTCAAAGAACTCTGCCACTCCTCCCCACCAAAAAAAAAGGAAAAATTAGGACATTTTAATCTGATGATTCTATCACCACCTTTAGATTACGTAAAGTTTACTTTCTGGAATAATATTAATAATAATATTGATATGTCTGGAAATAATGGAGTTTAGGTAAAAGGGCCACAGACATCCTCTCACCAGGATCTTACTGCTTCTGTCTCTTGTCCTGATGATAGTGTGCTGGACCCCATTCCTCATCACAGCACTCTCAAATCAGACCATGACATTCCAGTCGGCCTGTTTAGGGTGGGCAAGGCCTTATACAAGAGGTACCTAAATGCATTAAACATCTTTAGTCTCTACCAAGAAGTGCTCTTTTACACTCCCAACTCCCCCTACACTTATCCCTAATAGAGGGTTATAGAGCCTGGTCAATTTTAGACTTGGTGTTAAAGGTTCTCCCAAGTTTACTGCTCTGGCCATTGGCAGTCCTCTCCCTATACCGTTGTTGCTATTGTGCAATGGAAATATAGATGGGGAAAAACATAAACTTAATTACAAAAACTCTAAAGGAAAATTTTGCTTATATTGTAGAATACGATATACTAGATTTTATAAAATTATTTTATGAAAATCACATTTTGAGGGAGAGTAAGCAGACATTGTCTTCTAATAATAAACATACCCTATGCTCCTATAGGAGAAAAGGGTTTTCACATTTTTTAAAATGCATAAATCCTTTTAAGGCATAAAAATATGACATTTTATAGAAACAATGCACTCTTCTTTTAATGAATACTGATCAACTGCTTGCTAATTAGATATAGATGTCCCAGGGCATTTACCCTTAATTTTGCACAGATGTAAGTGGTATTCTCAGCTATAGATTTTACAGAGAAACAAAACCCTATTTAATTGTATCCATGTCCTGAAAGAATGCATTCTGCTTCATCTGGGCAGTTTCTCAGGATTCAACTCCAAACAGCACCATTACTAAGAGACCAACCAACTCACCCCTGCCGTCCCCGAGTAAGAGCGCGTAGACGCGCTGCCGCACAGGGCGGTAAGCGAAGGCCTGGCTGGGCAGAGCCTGGTCCAGAGCATCCTCCAGAGTGTTGCTGCACTCAATCTCCCCACTGCTCATGATGTTGTACACCAGGTAGCTCTCTCCCTGGACGTGCTGTGCTTGAGCAACCTGTTCAAAATTTAAATATAAGACAACTGATTCTCCACAAAAACAAAACAGTAACCTTCAAAGAGAAAAAGTTAACACCTTCTTATCACATCCCAGTGTTTTTAAGGCACTCAGAAATGGAATAATTGTCACTCAAGCTCAAGATGTCAAGCTGGCACTGGTGTTCCTCTCCTTTGGGTTTCCAGGCTCAAAAGTTTCTATTACTCCCCCTCCTCCTCCAATCTCCAACCATCTACTGGACTTACCATACTTACTTCTGCAGTATCTCGTCATTTTGTGCATCTGATGGTGAGTATTGTTATAAAAGGCTCTAACTGACCTCCTAGCCCCAGTTTCTTCCCTCTCCAACCCATCCTTCACTCCACCGACATCCCGTCTTCTTGGACTCAGAGGTCCACTCGTTACCCATCTGAACGGGTAAGGATTCACCGTAACACTCAATGCCCCACTAGAAGGTCGCAAGCTCCTTTTTCTGTACACACCATTTCACCCTCACAGAAACGGCTCTCATCCATTCACCACGGAACACCTTCACTGTTCCTCAAGAATATTCTCCCCCCTCCACTTGTGCTCCATGACATGCATCTCTTCTAGTCTTTCCCAACCTCCCAGTTCACAAGCCTCTTTCCCTTTAAGGTTCACCTAAAGTGTCACCCTCTTCATAAACCCTTTCCCCTCCTCTCCCATCCAGAACTCATCTGCCCCTTGTTTTATGGGGCTCACCTTACATTGACCCTACAGCAGTGGTTAAAATACATACATGTTTGAATTTGGGTTACCTATTTGATAGGACTGGAAGATTCCATTGCAAAATTTTTTAAAGAAAAATGGGAGGGGAACTTAAGAAACTTCTAACTGATTTCAAAGACACAATTAAGTTCAATAAATGGGAGACTCACTATGTGAACCACACATAATCCACCCTTTAACAAGAGGGCCCTCCCTTCTGCCTGTGGGCAGGGCCCCTCGGGCCTCTCCTGGCCCTCTTTCCCACCCAGGGCACTTCCACTGCTAGGCTTCCTGAAAAAGCAACTACAGCCCCAGCCTGCCTTCTTCGCCTGTCACCTGACCTCCACTTGTGTGACAACTCTCTAAGGTCACCAGAACCTCCTAATTGTGAAGTCTAACTGCCTCCTGGTCTAGTCCCACTCCACCTACACAGCACGGACACGCCTGGCCATTTTTTTCTCATTCTTGAAACTTGCCTCCTGGGGCTTTTATCAAGATTATCCTGTCATTCACCTCTGCTCTCAGTGCATCATTTCTTAAGGCTCCATCCCACGTAATCTTCCACTTGGAGGTTTCCATCACCATGTACAGTAGGATGATTTCCAGTTGAGGCCCATCTATCCACCCTCCCTGTAAAACTTCTCCTCCTCCTGCCTTAGCTCATGGCTACAGCTACACCTGGAGCACAGGAGAGACTTTGCTTCTACAGCAAGACTTACTTTTCATTAGTTCCACTTCTGAAACACTTCTTGAATTTGTTTCTTCCTCTCTGTTTCACTGCCATTTTCCTCAATTCTAGCTCTTTTGTTTTTTACCTGCGTTTCTGCAAGAGCCACTTTAGTTCATTCTCTGCAGTGTAACCGATGTTTCAAAAAACAAATATCTGATCACACAACACCTCTGCTTAAAGATATCTAATACTTCCTCAATGAGTATAAAAATTACGTCCTAAATTTCTTCCTAATACACGTGCTGCCCTGTGTGGTCTGCCCCAATCTGTGGGCACTCCCCTTGCAGAGAACTGCAGGAGAGAGCCAGGATCCCCTAATACAGTAAAGGCCAAGGGTGGGTCCGTCCGTGGAGTGAATGCAAGCCAGGGTTCATGAAGAAGAGCCTGAGGCCAGAGAGGACATGTGAAAGGCCATAAACAGGAGATGAGAGTAAAAGACAGGAACTGGCAGGGGCCAGGTCAAACCACAAATGAGCAGAGAGGGCCCAGAAGGAAGGCTGCTGTGTGTGCTGGCCACTGACTATGTCTTGGTCAGCAGGAGGACTGGGCTGGCTGGGAAGCTGACGCCCTGCATGCCTCAGTTTTGACCTGTGGTTCCCTCTGCCTACTGCACCTTTCCCTACCTTGCCCTTCAGGCACACTGCTAGAGAGCCTCCAAGTTCTACAAGAGGCGCCACCTCTGAAGCCATATGTAAGACTAGGTACAGGATAGCTTCCTTGTAAATTCTTCCACTCTCGAGCTTCTAGACTACTGACTACGACCATCCTGCTTCATCAAGTGCCAACGAACTTCTAGACCAGCAGGGAAGTTGTCTGTGATCTTGTAAAGAGTCAAACTTGCAGTCAAGGCATGGGTCCTAACCCAGGTGTGCCAAGTACTAGTTGTAACTGCAAACAATGTCACTTAACCTTGTCATAACTGTGTCCTCTTGTGAGAAGGGAGACAAGTGCATCTAGCAACAGAGCTGTGTGATGTGAGGAACATCCTTTGATAATTTAAACCACTCCATAAAGATGTACTACTGGAGAATGACCTCTGCATGGTCTATATTAAACTAGTGCTACTATGTCCAACCTGCATGAGAAAACTGAATAAATTTAAGCAAAGTCTAGATTTAGTTCTTCTCTGTCCATTCTCTACACTCCTTTCCATTTCCCAACTCTGAGCATTGAGGTGATCAGATGACTTCTGATTCCTTATTAACACTGACCATCCTCCTGTGCTTCACTACCTGCTGCTTATGGACACTTCTACCTGGAGATCTAATGCTACTCTTTCTCCAATTCCCAACCCACACTCTTCTTCCTCTATGAAGCACTTAACAATGCTTCCAGGGAGAATAATTTTCTTAACTCGTTAATACTTTTTCACCTATAACTCTCTTAAAGCATGTATCTCATTCTACCTTTTACTGTAACTTTCTATGTTAATAAATTAACTTGTCTGCTACAATGTATGTAACAGAGAAAGAGGAAGTAACTCTTCAAGATAGGAGAATCCATGTAGTTGTACAGGAGGGAGAGAAGAGGTTATGAAGGAGAGAACCTAAAAAGACACAAGAGAAAAGGAATATTTCACTCAAGATTTAATGAGCAGCTGCTACAAAACAGACGGTAAGCTAGGCACAAGGGGTTCGGCAGAGAGAAAAACACACAAGATCCTGCCCTCACAGCCCTGCCACAGTATAGCAAGAAAGACATGACTCAAACATGAAATTCCAGTGGGGCATGTACAATGTCAGGTACACACAGTGGGCTGTTCTGAGTGTGTGACTACCCAGTTGTGACAGAAAAGACTAGTAGGTATTGACTAGCACAAGTGGCAGGATGCTTCCTAGGAAGGAGAAGAACACATGGTCTATATTATGAGCTTCGTCTCAGGCAAACCTGAGATGAGGGGCTGACAAAGCTGGAGACGCAGGTAGTACCTAGCTGACAGCATGCTGCGGCCTTGTTAAGGGTATTGTTACCACTCTAAGAGTTATGAAATTCAAGTACAGGGCTTCATTTCAGCATGCTGCACGACCAATAGTTTGGAAGGGGCAAAAGTATGTTCAGGAGGAGCTCTTAGAAATTACTGCAGGATCCAGACAAGAGACAGCTTGGACTAGGGTGGTAAGAGTCAGAGGATGGCTCAAAGAAACAAGACTTGGGAGAAACTGGTTATGAAAAAAGGAGAGAGAATTCCTAGATTTGTAATCTGTGTAACTAGATGAGATGGTGACACTCACAAGGCCAGGAACAATAAAAGGTTTGTGGGTCTTGAACTTGTTAAGATGCTTCTGGGAGATTCATGTGGCATTATCTGTAACACAGGGGAATGCCTATCTCACAAGGCCACGGGGAAGATTAAAGAGGTAACATATGTAATGCCTAGCACAGAAGCCCACACATCACAAGTGGTTAATCAACAGTGGCCCTCCATCAAAACCCTCAAGGGTTCTACAGTGCTGTCAGATTTAAGTCCAAATTCCCAGTGTGGCATTTAATTATCTTCACAATCTGGCTACAGTCTATCTTTTCCAATTTATTCTCCCTACTTCTCCCCTCAAGCCCCATGCTCCAGCCTACTGTTCTACCACTGTGCCCCAAGGTGATAGATCCAAACTTGACACCTTTAGTCCTCCCACAACCTCCAAGTTTTTGCCTAGTCAAAGCAAATTCCCCATTAAGGTCTGGCTCCAATTCTACCTGTTCCGGGAACTTCTCTCTGTACCTTAACACACAATGATCTCTCTCCTTCAAATTCCTAGAGTTCTCATCTGTAATAGTCATGTAACAATATCAAATATAGTATATCATGTGATTTTTCCCATGTATTACGTCATACTTCCTAACTAAACTCCTAGGGTCCTGTTCTGTGTCCCTCACAGTGCCTTAACCACTGCAGGTAGTCAATAAATATTCAATAACAAGTCCATCAGTAGATACATTTTCAATCATCACACATTAGATTTGGGAGGGCACATCTACATACCTTTAAGATTTCAGGGTCTGAAACCATGGTTACTTGTTGCTTGATTTCAGGCTCCAGATTCATGGGGTCTTCTTGTTTAATTCCAGGGTTTGTACACATAGGTGATTCTAGCTTAAATTCAGGGTCTGTACCTATAGGTAATTTTTGCTTGATTTCAGGGTGTGTACACATGGGAACTTCTTGCTTCAATTCAGGGTCAGCACACATGGGAACTTCATGCTTGGATTCAGGGTGTGTATATATGGGAGTTCCTTTCTTGGATTCAGGGTCTGTACACATGGGAACTTCTTGCTTGGATTCAGGGTCAGTACACATAGGAACTTCTTGCTTGGATTCAGGATCTGTACACATGGGAACTCCTTGCTTGGATTCAGGGTGTGTACACATGGAAACTTCTTGCTTGTATTCAGGGTCTGTACACATGAGAACTTCTTGCTTGGATTCTGGGTCTGTACACATGGATACTACCTGCTTGTCCAAAGTTATTACATCTTTGGGTTTTTGGAAAAACCATGGAGATTTCTGTCCTGGCAAAAGATATGATGCCACACCTTTATAAAAAAGAGCTTTGTTTGGTCCCAAAGGTAACATCTCTTCTAGCTTTTTCTCACCTTGATGCAAGTGAAGAACTTTAGATATGTGGTCTGCTACAGCTAAGATAATGTTGCCTTTTTTGTCAAAGTTCTCTTTTGCAGAGGTATAGGAAGACAAGCACTTGTACCGAAAGCTTTCAAACATGCCTTCTGGGATTATGTCATTGCCAAGTAGGCAGGCCAGAAGAGGAAGGTCTGCCAGCTTGAGATTTAGACTCTCACAGAGCTTCTCTCTACAGAGCATGATAGTATTGAGACTCTCCAGGCAGAGTTCACTAATTGAAAAGTAGGGAGAGGTATCATAAATTAAGTAGTCCGTGTCTTCTCCAAGAATCCCAAGACAGTTATTCTGGAGACCATAGGAAGCCACCTCATAGTCGGCCTCCCGTAACGAACACAGAGTTTCTTGACCTAGGGTCTTCAAAGCAAATCGCGTAAATATGGCCAGCCCTGAGGGGATGAAGAACATGTTTCTGCCGGGCTGCTCCTTGTGTGATTTGATGTAATGGAAAATCCTGGATATCTCCCTATTGTTCTTGAGTCTTCGTTTCACCCATTCATCTCTTTTATGCTGCTCCACCATGCCATCAAAGAAGAATATCAACTTGATGCCAACCGTTGTAAAAGTTGTAACAAATTCTCGCAAAGCAGAAAAGTATTCTCGCCACTGGCCGCCACAGATCCAAGATTCGGGGGTATACCAGTATCTGAGACAACACATGGCATCGACCACAATGGTAGGAGTACATCCAGGATGCTTGCTTCGGTGGTTCTCTGCTAGTTCTTTGAAATTTACTACCGTACATATATGTGGGCAGGTACTTCCCACAAATCCCTGCAAACCTCTCACACCCATAACTGAACTCCTGGAAAAGATGTGGAAAGGAAAACAAATGAGTAATTAAGGCATTATCACTAGATATATGGCATTTTTCAAAGCAAACACAATATTTAATATTCACTCTTTATTTCTAGAGAAACTTTGGTCACCAACATGATATGTAACATGATATACTGGTTGGGAATCTAAAGAGTTTTCAATGAAAACACACAAGGAACTTTACCTAAGTATAAGTTACTTCAGTTGGACTTTTACAAGGACAACAAAGTATAGCAATCTTTTAAGATTTTCACTAAGACTATTACACAAGAGATTTCTCAACCAAATTTAAAAACAAATTAAGCTCTCAAAGGAGTAATATTTCCCACCTAAGAACTCAAATAGAAGTTGATTTTGAAAACCTAAAACATAAATTGAACCATGCAACATGGATGTTTCTCAAAATAATTTTGCTGAGTGAAAGAAGCCAAACCAAAAATAAATACACACTGTATGATTCCATTGATATAAAATTCTAGTTCATGGAGAGTCGAGCTGATCTGTAGTGACAGAGAGCAGAGAGCAGATTAATGGTTGTCCGGGGTTGGGGCAGGTGGGAGGGATTTACAAAGGGGGAACTTTTGAGGTGATGGACATGTTCACCACCTTGACTGTGGTGATGGTTTCACAGGTGAACACATGCTAAACCTCGTCAAATTCTACACTGTAGGGATGTGCAGTTTACTGTATGTACGTCAAGTACACCTCAGAAAAGATGCTAGAAAACTACATAAATATTCACTATGCCAAGTGTTTATAACATTTGTGATGGTGACTGACTGACTTTGAATGGAAAACTGCCCATGCCAAAATGTAAAAACATGTAAAGTAGTAAAAGAGTTAGCATTCAAAATTTGGGGGAAAAAATCCAAGCAGAATACTTTACATAATAAGTAAGAAGTACTTATATATAATAAAAGATGTAATGTAAGACGTTCTTCAGACAGGTAACATGCATCAATGGTCAGAAAAAATTCTCCATGATAACATCTTTTATCTCAAAGGACTACTCTTTTCACTTTGGTTTTCTTTAAGAGTCATCAGGACTTTGTGTCCTTTGACAAAACAAAACAAAAAACCCTTATTATGCAAAAAAGCAACACAAGAATAAACGATGTCTCTCCTAGAACTGGACTGAGGGCAGTGGCCGCCAGCTGCCGAAGCATCAGTGCGCTCACTTCTCACCAGCAGGCAGTGGACAACTCCACACACACAATCTAGTCTTTAAAACAACCCTGATAGGTAAAATCATAAGTTCTGTTTCACAAAGAAACTGTAAATAAATTAGTAGGCTGAAAAAAGGCACCCTCAAAGAGAATTTCCTGACTGCTAATGGATACTGGCCTCTAACAGGAGAATCTGAAGTTATCTGTTTAACAGCCATTACTATGAAAATATATAAAAACCGAGCGGACACAAATAGCACACATTTATGTTGAAATTTAGAGAAGCATTGCTCATTAAGTTATTAAATATAATGGAATATACAAATCTATATTACCCCAACCACTGTAGAGCCAACACTAGTATAGAGTTTATCTTGGGAACTTTATGATCATCTCCACTCTATGGTGGTTCTACAGTCTGGACCTCTGAGTGGGATCCTATGCCTACTAAGTTACATCGTATTTCTGAAGGAGGTGGGTTTTCTTATGACATTCCAACACAGTAGGTAGGCACAGGCTTGGGAAGGGGGTGTAAGACACAGAAGAGTGGTGGGAATAGAGAGAACACAATGCTCAGACTTCACAGACTCTAGGCCATTATTCTGTGCTGAGGTTTAAGTCCAGCAGGCTTGTAAGGTTTGCTGAGGACGAGCGGACCAAAGGTAAATCTTACAAATGTGGAGTGTGACTCAGTTTCTATATTGTGAGAAGAGACTCCACTTCTTTCACCAGGCTCCATGCTGGGTGCTGAGGATCCCCTCCCACCAAGCTCACCAGCAGCCACTGGGAGTCCCAGTTAGTCACAGGATTGCTTAAGACGCACACGAAGCCAATACACACACAGAGATAAAGCTGGGAGAGTGAGCAAAATAGAACCCGCTGTCACTCCCTGCTCCCACACAGACGTGGGCCCCCATTTGTGCAGCAGCTCCGCCACATTTAGGTTGGCTGCCTTCCCTCACCAATAAAAAGGGATTTTTGTTTCAAGCATTTTTCTACTAAAACTGCAAGTGACAACACTGAGTTTCTCAAAACACTCTCCTCTTTATTTTGCAAGAAGTCGGGCTCAGCCTCTGCTTTGATTTTATTCAAATGTTTTTCCTCCTTTCTCACCCCAGTAGCAAAATGCTCACTATTTTAATTAAACGTGCACTGACTTTTCCTGTTTTTCACACTGCCAATTTCTCACATTTTGAATCACAAATTACCTCAGGAATGCTACGCTACAGTGTGCTGTTTTATGGCATTTACAAAGAAAAATCTGGATAGGCAGAATCTGGGACTTGTGACATCAGAAGATGCCTTCCGGTATTCAGCATATCTCAGGGCGTTGAACACGCACACCAGCCACCCATCGATGCCGTTAGCACGGTGTGAGATGAATGCTTAGGAAGGTAAAGTCTACGGATATTACCTTTTTAAATACCTTTTTTCTGGTTTCTTTAAGTCTTTTATTGCTAAGAGCATATACCAGGGTTTTTCATTCTCTAAAGGTAGTTTTTAGGATGATTGCAAAATATAGATACATAATTTCATTTATTCAACCTGTAAATTATACAGGAAATTTTCATAATTGTTTAGTAAGAAAACAGAAGTTATGTCTCATTAGGTAGGAGTCTTATTGCCCAAAATACAGTCTGGGAATCACTTCCATTCCTGCGGGCCTCCTCAAGGCAGATGACATCACTTGCTGTCATATCTCTAGCACACAGCCAGTGTCTGGCACATGAGGGGCCCAGTAAGTATTTGTGAATGAATGAATAAATAAGGCATCAAAGCACAGGTGTATAAAAAATCAGGAATCAACAAGTTTATAGACTCCAGTTGTGGGCAAAGAGTACAAAGTGGAGTCACTGCTCTCAAGTAGCTGACAAGCTGGTTTGGGAAACAAAACATCATACAGGACATTTTACGGAGGAGCAGCCAGCAGGTACACAAGTACAGCAGGACAGTATTACGCTGGAAGTGGCCTCACTCCTACCAATGGTTTCATCCTCCTCTTACAGCTAGACCAGTCCTAACGTACTGGCTTACTAGTAAATGGGGAAGTGGAGAGAAGAGGAAAAAGAAGTCCAGGAGCTCCTTCATTTACAATCTTTCAACTGACAAACACTCAGAGAAATGAAGAGTGGCATGTCTCAGCAAAAACATATCAACCCTACCCACCACTGATAGAAGGAGGTCAGAGTACATGTCCAGTCACCTGGGACACAAGGCCAAATGGACTCATCAACAGCCCACAAGGACACTGCCCATGTGAAGAGCAGCATTCCAGAAGGACAACCAGTACCAGCAGTTATGGCCACCTTAAGGCATACCTAGCATCCCAATGGTGTCACAGCATAATTTTCAAGGGCTAAAAGATATCACTCATGAAAATATAAATTAAGGACAAAGCCTGTAAGATGAGAAGCTGGTTCAGATGGCATTTGAAGAGCTGGAATTGACTAAAATAAGGTTTTTAAAGTTGGACACAAATCTGGTTAATGTCCTACAGAAAAATAAAACCATAACCTTTGAACTTATCTTTATCAGAAAGAAATAATTTGTATCTTTACAAGAAAAAAATCTATAAATTAACATGTAATATCACAGGGTTTGGGCTCTAACCAAGAGTAAACAGCAGAGTCAGCAAGGTGCATTCTGTTAGAAAATCAAACCATTTTGGGTGGATCCATTAGGCAATGGCCCAGTATGACAGTGACAAAACATGCAGTCCTCTTTTTTCCTTGCTTCATTTCCAAGTTTTAGATAATTTTTCTTTAAATGGTAACAGCTGGCTGGGCCTAGGCCCTCTAATGAGGTCCCCTAATGGCTGAGTGTAGTATCTGGAATCCGCTCGCTCTTCTCCTCCCCACTAACCCTACCTAAAAAGAGAAACTTACAGAGACCTCTTCAACACAGCAGGATAAGAACAGGGACTGAAAATTCCCAAAGATTACAATTTACCCCATGCCAGCACATGGGACAGTGTTTGCCCAATGTTTACTGATTATTTACGAATGCACAATCAGGTAAATAAATGAACCGAGGGTGGTTCCACTTAGGTTAGTCTCAATGCTTCAGAGGACCTCCACAGAGGACTCATTAAACTACTGACAAAGACGCTCTCCTTGGCCAAACTTTAGTCAGGCTCCTCGGCCCTCTTTTCGATTAAGGCTCGACCTTGGGCTTCCACATTGGTCCTTGCCAAGTCCAGTTTGAGCAAGAATCCTGCTGAGTCAGTTTAAAGAAAATCCCCCACCCTTGATATATGATCACCTCAAGATCTGATCCAATTCCTCATCCCTCACCCTTGATTCTCTCACAGACCCCCTCGCTCTGCTCGTTGGCTATAAATATCCAGAAATCTCTCTGTGTTTAGAGTTGAGCTCCATCTCTCTCCCCTGTTGCAACAATCTTGTATAAAGTCTGCCTTACTGTTTTAACAAGTGTCAGAATAATTTTTTTCTTTAATGCTGCCAACTCAAAGAAGCTTATTCAAATGAGAAATGGGAAGCCTGTAGTTATTACGATTACTTTAATACATCCAGGGACAAGTGTGCAGACTCAGGGTGCCCTGGAAGACCCTCCAGAACACAGTGTGGCCATGACCACTGGTGTCAAGATTCAGAAAACTGGTGCATGGCAATGTAGACACTCAGTGGTTGGTAGGTCAACCTCTTTTAGCTGTGTCCTAGGGAGAAGTAACAGAATGCTAGGCAGTATAGTATTGTTGATAAAAGGAAGGCTCTAGAACAAAACTAAACTGATTCAAATTCTAACCTCCTCTTAATAGCAGTGAAACTTCAAGCAAGTTACTTCACTCTATAAGCTTCAC